ATTCCCAATCAGAGCGCATGTGGGAGTGGCCAATCTGTTTCTCTCTCACATCCATGTTTCTCCCTCTCCCTCTCTGTCTCAAATTAGTGAAAGTATATCCTCTGTTGAAGATTTTTTAAAATCCTCACCCAAGGATATTTTTCCATTTATATTCAGATAGAGTGGAGGGAGGGAAGGAGGTGGAAGGGAGGGAGAGAGAGATGTGACAGAGACACATTGATTGGTTGCCTCCCACATGACCCAGACCAGGGCCAGGGATAGAACAGATGCCCTTGACCGGAATCAAACCCATGACTCCAACACTTCAACTGCTGAACCAAACCAGCCAGGGCGAGAATTTTTTTTTAAATCTCACTCACCTGTGACCTTCAGGGGGACAACTTCCTCTGAGCACGCAGTCCTGGAGCACATTCCTTTACATAGTTCCACAGCTCCCTGGCCATCCCTGGTAGCACCTAGCACAACACGCCCTTGGTTTTACTACATCTCCCCCTTTAGACCTTCTATCTTGTTTCTCTTTGCCCAGCACCTAAAACAATGCTCATCACAAGACTCCTCTCAGGTCAGACCACAAGAATTCTCATGAAAATCCCTAAAATCACATGCAAAATTCTATGTGCATGTACACTTTTCTAAAAAACAGTCCGTGACCTTTATTGGAGTTTCAAAAGTGTCTTAAGACCTGAAAGAGGCTAAGCGCCTCCCCAGGAGCTGAAGGAGCTTGTCTTTCCTTCCAAACAGCACCGTCAATGCAGATTTCTCCTATGCGTGACCATCCCCACTAGAACATGACTTCACGGAGGGCAAGGACCTTTATGTTTTGTTCATTAATGTGTCCCAAACGCCTGGAATGGTGCCTGGCCCATCCTGGGTATAGGTGTTGAATGACCATAGCCTCAGACAGTTTTAACAACTGTGAAAACTGTACGTGGATCGGTTACATGTTGCTGCAGAGCAAATCACCCTAAAATGTAATAGCGTAACATTTATTATCTTAGTTTCTCTAGGTTGGGCGTCAGGGTGCAGCTCCGACGGGTCCTCTACTTCAGGGTCGCTCACAAAGTGTCGGTCAGGGCTGTGGGCACCTGCAAGCTTGACTGCGGAAGAACCTGCTTCCAAGTTCGCTCATGTGGCTGTTGGCAAGATTCAGTTCCTCCTTGGCTGGAGCCTGCCCTCTATTCCTTACCACATGGGCCTCTTCACAGGGCAGCTGACCAGATGGAAGCTTGCCTCATCAGAGCAGGCAAACAAGAGGAGGGAGAGAGAGAGAGAGAACAAAAGATAGCCATAACAATCTTCTGTACCTTAATCTCAGAAGCGGCACCCCATCACCTTTGCTGTGCTGTTAGAAATAAGTCTCACCCGGCTGGTGTCGCTCAGTGGTTGAGCATCAACCCATGCACCAAGGGGTCACCAGTTCGATTCCTGGTCAGGGCACATGCCCAGGTTGTGGGCCCAGTCTCCAGTGGAGGGCATGCAGGAGGCAGCCAATCCATGTTCTCTCTCACTGATGTTTCTCTCTCTCTCTCCCTCTCCCTTCCTCTCTCTCTTAAATCAATAAAGAAAAAATATTTTTAAAAAAAAGAAGTCTCTACATCTCAGGCACACTCAAGGGAAGGAAGTTATGTAAGGGATGAACAGCAGCAGGCAGGATACTGAGGGCCATCTTAGAGACTGCCTACAACACGTTATTTCATACAGTGTTCAGCTCATTCAAGCACCCAGAGCAGAAGGCGCAGACCAAATGCCCAGGTCAAGCAGACGGTAACAAGGGAAGAAATGAGCAGCGGGAGGTTTGGTTGGCAGCTGAACCTCTGCCCATCCTCCAGCAGATGACTACCAAACAGGAATGTGGGCTGACTTGTCAGATCTTCTAAATATTCAAAAGAAACCATGGTCCAGATTTTGTGAGACATTTCCTGACCTTTAAAGCTGTGATAATCTAGCAAAAACACATCTGAGGGTTAGTTTTTTACTCTTCTCTATGACACAAAGGGCCTAAGCCATTCTAATACCCTTTGCATGCCTGTTCCATCTCTCCTGGACCTACTCTCCCACCCCCCTGCACTCACTAACCGAGGGCAGGGACCTAGCTAGTTCACCTGGGGCACTTTCTGTACTTCTTTGCATGTAACAGGCCAACAACAAATATTGTTGAGTGAAATATGAAATTGCTGTCTCACTGAGAAGCATCCACCCCAATCCAGAGGACTGGTTAAAAGTGGGTGCTGGTGTCTGAATAAGTTGGAATCCTGGCTTGCTGTGACCTTTAGGAAGCTACTAACTTTTCAGAGCCTCGGCTTCTTCATCTATAAAATGAGAATAATTGCACCCGCCTCACAGTTGTTATAAAGATTAACTGTAATAAATATACTTATTAGCACACTTTAGCAACTCAATAGCTGTTCCTACTCATATCATCCCTCTTCTTTCCTCACTGGCTCCCTGGCTCGGATCCCCTTAATCCATTAAATCATTTACCACTATCCACCTGGCTGGCAGCTAGAGGGAGCCTCTAAGATGAGAGATGTCATGTTCACTGCCAGGGTTTACATCCTTCAACAGTGAGCTGATCCCCTCAGTAGGGGAAAATCCTCTTTCACAGCTCACCAGGCTCCTCTGGACATGCGCCTGCCCAGCCTTCAAGTCTCCCTTGTCTCTCGCCACCTCCTCCCTGCACGCTCAGCATTCCAGGCGCACCCAAGCTTTGTTTCCTGAACACTCCACACTTTCTGCCACTTCAAAGCAAGTGCTCTTCTCTCCACAACTACTGCCCCTTCTAGTTCCAGCTGTGCGCTCAAAGAATTTCTGAAGTTCCTTGCTTAACCTGAAGGCAGGTACAATATCAATGTTCTTCACCTCTGCTCTCTTCCTAGCACAACGCCTCCAGCGCGGAATAGGCAAATAATGTACTACTGTAGAATCGTCCACAGCAGTGCTGATCCCGTGAGCAGACAGCGCCACCTGTCGACCCAAACTTGCACTGCAGTACCTAGAAAGGAGCCTTAGCTCTCAGCTCACCACCAGTGTAGATGAACAATGGTTTTGAAGTTTTCCAGGGGTCTATCCAGTATCTCCTCGCACAATACTTAGCAATAAATAAATTTTTTTAAAAAAAGAGTTAACATTATTGAGTACTTAAAGTAAGAGAGCCAGGCACTCTCCTAAATGCTTTAGTTATTAACACATTTAATTTTTACAACCACTCAATGAGTTAGGTACTCATTGCCATTTTGTGGATGGGGTAACTGAGGCGCAGGGCAGTTAAATGCCTCACCCAACATCACTCTGCTAGAAATGTCACCTCAGGCAGTCTAGCTTGAACCTGCACCTTTAAGCGTGAAACACTGCCTCAATTCTGTTTCCTTCAGTCCATGCCCAGTGGTGGCCTGGTGACTTTACATCCCAGACACCTCTCTCTATTGTGAAGGTACTATCACAGTGGCATTGGTACCAAGCAAACCCCATGCGGAGTGAGGGTCCCACACACCCTGAAAGCTGCACAACTCTCCAAAGGCACTCCTCAGGACAGGAATCAAATGTGGCGGCAGCTTCCCCTCCGTGAGACAGCAAGTGCCGCAGTCAGCCCTGGCCTCTGTGCTACCGCTCTCCTCGTGACCTCCAGCAAGCCTCTGAGCCTCCTAAAAGGACTCTCAGCCCAGCTTCATGGATCAGACTGACTGGAGAGTGTATGAAAAATAAGGAGCGCAGTCCAGCTGGGGTGGCTCAGAGGTTGAGCATCAACCCATGTACCATGAGGTTGCTGGTTCAATTCCTGGTCAGGGCATATGCCCAAGTTGTGGGCCAAATCCCCAGTGGGAGACATGCAGGAGACGCCCAACCGATGTTCTCTCTCATCGATGTTTCTATCTCTCTCTCCCTCTTTAAAATCAATGAAAAAAAAATTTTTTTTTTAAAAAGGAGTTAAGGAGTATAGCCCCTCATTCAGGTGGACGCTGAATGGCAGCGATCAGGCGTCCCCTGCCTGGATCATTGCCATCACCAGGTAGGGTCCCTTCACGTGCTTGATACAACTGTGTAGAACCAAAAGGTTGGTTGCTTCCATCTTAAATCCCATCTACTTTTCATTGGCTCCTCTAAATATTTTTTTATATCATTTGTAAAAATACCTGCCTCCACTTAATTTTGTTATTAAAATATATTTATGCTATCAATAACTACTTATTTTATTAATCTCTAATTCATAATTATATATTGAATATAAATGTATATTTTATAAATTATATTTATAATATAAATATTAAATATATTTATACATAATATACAATATATATAGCCATATATATATGGCTAATATCTATTACTTCCTATGCCCCAGTCATTATTCTAAATACTTCACACATGTCAACTCATTTAATCTTCACAATAGCCCTATGATTATCCCCACTTTACAATGAAGCTAAAGCAGTGAAATGACATGTTCAGGGTCATACATCAAGTTGCTGACCTGGAGTGCACACCTAAGTCATTAGACCAGTCCACACTTTTATTATTATTATTTTTGCATTTATCTTCAGATAGAGCGGGAGGGAGAGAGGGAGGAAGAGAGAGAAACATCGATGTGAGAGAGACATATCGAGTGGTTGCCCACCCACAGGACCACAATCGGGGTGGGATCCAAACTGCAATTGAGGTACATGCCTTTAGCAAGAACTGAATCCGAAACTGGGACTCTGGTCTGCAGGCCGATGCTCTAATCTCTGAGCCAAACTGGCCAGGGCACCAGTCCACACTTTTAATACTACCTTAGACTCCCTCTGCTGGTAGAGGTTGTGTCTGCTGCCTTTACTCCAATGTGCCAGGCACACTGCTTTACACAAAGCAGGTGTCAACAAACTTTTTATACATACATACACACACACACACACACACACATACAGTCACATTCCAGTGTGCCAGACACCAATTCTTCTACTGGGAGAGAGGCCCAGGCTCTAGGCTCCCAGAGACTCTCCAGAGACAGCCTAGGCCTGGCAGTCTTCACAGATGACACCCAATAGGGCACTTTAATTAGACAAGTGGGAAGGGGCAGGGTGCACCTCGGGGTGGGTCCTGTCTGGGCCTCATGCAGGCCCAGAGCTCTGCTGCATCCTCTTCATCAGCTCTTCATCCTGCATAGACAACTCTGTCAACTTTTTGCCCATCCGCTCATGGATGTCCAGGTACTTGGAGACACACCGGTCCAGGCACACAGACTCGCCCTTGGACAGTTCTGCTTCCTTGTAGTGGGGAGGCACGCACTTCCGGTGGCAGGCACTTGTCATTCTGGGGGGAAGGGAGGACAAGGTCAGGTCAGCAGCACCTTGTGGCATACCAGGAACTCTCAACCATTCCTGACCTGCTATACTTATTTCACCCAGGCAGGCAGTGTAAAGCCTCAGTTTGCAGCTCAACTATCTTGGAAGGTCCTTGAGAGTAGGAACCTTGCCTGAGCCCATGTTTATAACTAATTAAATAGAAACCATCAGTCGAGTACTGGCTATGTTCCAGGTATTATGCTAAGTGCTTGACATAATTCTTATTCAATTCTTATAACGCTATGCACTAGGCATGATCATTATCCCCAATTTACAGATGAGAAAAATAAGACACAGAGAGCCTGAAGACCACATAGAGCTAAGGTATGAACCCAGGTAGTCTGACTTCATAGCTTACTTTGAAAAATTATTCTAACATATAGCCTCCAACATAAACCAACCAATCAAGAGAGGATACCGGAGACCTTAAGCCAATAAAAATAGCAGACATTTGTCGACTCCTTACTATGTGTTGGGCTTGATGCTAAGAGCTTGTCATACATTTCAACATTTAATATTTATTTTTTTAGGATTTGTTTTTATTGGCTTTTAGAGAGAAAAAGGAAGAGGGAGAGAGAGAAACATCAATGTGAGAGTAAAACATCAAATGGCTGCCTCCTGCATGTCCCCTACCTGGGATCGAGCCCGAAACCTGGGCATGTGCCCTGACCAGGAATGGAACCAGCAACCTTTCAGTGCATAGGATGACGCCCAACCAACTGAGCCACACCAGCCAGAGTAACATTTAATATTTATAATGTTTCTATGAGATAGGTAGTAGTATGCCCTCCATTTAACAGATGGAGAAACCACTGGTCAAAAAGTCCAAGTAACTTGCCCAAGACCAAACCAGTGGTGATTGGTGGAGCTATGAATTGTTCCCAAATTTGCCAAAATACTGGACCTGACATTGCTATTCACCAGCTGTGGACCCTAAGAAAGCTATGTAACCTCTGGAAGCCTCACTGTCCTCACAAAAAAATTAACCCAGTGTATTCTTTTTTGTTTGTTTAACTTTTATTTATTGGTTTTGGAGAGAGAGGAAGGGAGATGGAGAGAGAGAAACATCGATTTATTATCCCACTTATTTGTGCATTCATTGGTTGATTCTTGTTATGTGCCCTGACCTGGGATAGAACCTGCAACTTGGCATATAAGGATGACCCTCTAACCAACTAGGCTACCTGGCCAGGGCAACCCAGTAGATTATTTTAGAGATTAAAAAAGATAATGCATGTAAAATGCTTAGCAAGTGCCTGAGATAGAGTAAAGGTTTAGTAAGTGTTAATTAAGTGGGATATGCACTATTTGTCAAAAGGCAAATGCTCAACTGTTCTTGGAACCTAACTATAACCTGAACTGGAGCTTCTCCTGCTTGGCTCCTTCATGGCCAATTCCATCCCAGTCTAAATGCCCAACTCCTTCCAGTGACCCCATACTGAGTCTGCATTAGCCTTTAACCATGGGGTGTGGGTACAGGAGGATGGTAAACTCTGGCCTCAGACTCCCCTAAATTGAGTAAAGCATTTTTCATATGTCGTCCACCTCAACCCTCTGCAAGAGCAACCTAGAATCATTCCCTAAGGCAGTCGGCTCCTACCTGTTGTACATATCAGCCATCATTTCTACCTCCAGCTCCGCCGCCAGCTGCTGGGCCCTGAGCGGATCCATCTCAGCCCTGCACCGTAAAGAGCTCCTGAGATCTCCTTCCCGCCTCCTAGTCCTGAGAACAGACATCGCCGTCAGCACCCACCTCTCCCGATCCCTTTCCCATCCCAGGGGTTAAAGGATGTGAAGGCATCGGACCGACAGGAGCCACTGATCTGTGTCCAACCATCCCATTTCACAGATGTGGGAACTGAGGCCCGGAAAGGGAACACTGCCTAGCCCAAGGCCACACAGACGTCAACACCGGGCTGGAAATCGAACCCCGGGGCCTGACGCTCAGTGCCTCTAGGTCACCTCTCTCCAGAAGATCGAGGGACCGGAAGGGAGCACTCTAAACCGCAGGCCTGAACCTCCGGGGTCCTGGGAATTCGCGCATACGCGCAACTAACGCGCCCGCGCCCGGCCCAGAGGCTGCACCTCTGGTAGGGCGGCGCCACCATCTATCTGGTCCACCTTGAGGTCACAGGTCACTCACCACGGCCTGGAGCCGGTCACAACGACCCCGCTGTCCCCAACTTCAGGCAAACGTTACAAACCCAGTACCCAGGTAGGCAAAGGCGGAAGCACGTGGGTCACTTCCGGGAGGAGGTCCCGCCTCCTATCGGATCCCAGCTCGCTTTCGGAACGAAGTACCAACGAGGCCGCGCTGGGAAATCGGCGACCACAGAGAGGGAGCTGCGCGACCCAGCTGAAGGCCAAGGCGACTTGCAAATGCTAGAGAGGACGCCCAAATACCATAGAGACTTTGGCGGCGTGCAGAGCGCCTGCAGCCTGGAGGTCAAGTCCCGGCCGGTCACCGAGGGGGTTGAGTTTACAGATTCTGTAGGAAGGGGCTACGCTACGGAGCTCAAGGGACCTGGCCTCCGCCTCTCCGAGAGCTGACGCCCGGGCACAGAGCAGGCGTGCAGGACGAAGGGCGACCCCAAACGGCAGTTCTCCGTCGGTGCTGCACGTTAAGGTCGCCGGGGACTCATTAAAAAATCCCGATCCCCGGGCCTCACTTCATACCAATTATGTCAGACTCTAGGAGTAGAACCCAGCTATCAGTCAACTTTTAAGTTCCCAGGTGAATTAGATGTGTATTACTGTACATTAGATGACACGACGAAATTACTATGATTTTGAGGGTGTGAAAATGGCACTGTGGAAAAAAGACTGAGATAAAAATAGATGAAGAAAATGTGGCTCAATGTTAATAATTGTTAAATCCTGGTGATCGGTATGTGGAAGTTCAATGTACTGTGCTCTCCACTTTCCTATATGTTTTAAATCTGACATAATAAAAGTCTAGTGATTAAATAAACATAAGAACAATGATTTCTTTTTGCTGAGCATCTGCCATGGTTGGACTAGGTGCTTTAATTATATAATCTACTTTGTTTTCTTTTTTGTAATGATTTTTTAAAGTTGCTTTTGAAATAATGATAGGTTTACAGGAAGTTTCATCAGTACCGTAGTACATAAATTCCTTTGTGCAACCAGTTTGGGAACCAGAGCTTCAAGAAACTGAATACAGCTGCATGCCTACAGGTCACTAAGCTTGCTCTGGGATTACAAAGAGAAAGGAGGCATGGTTCCTGCTTGCAAAAAGACAAGACATGTATACTTATGTTTTATTCAACTTCTGTTAGATGCGCTGGGCCACAAAGAGATGGAAAAGAGCAATTTTGACTGCCACTAGAGCTAACCTAGTACATTTAGTTATGGGAGAAGGAGGGTACTTGTGAACTCTTTGTCCTTCAAGACTAAATTGTTTCCACCACCCCTCAACAACAACAAAAAAACTCCACCTCAATTCCTTAATTTTTCAAGGGATTTCCCAGTAAATGAAATTTAGAAGATATGAATTAATGATGCAAGGGTACACTTCCCATTGGGGAAGGTAGGCTGGACACTTTATATGGTTGGTCATCAAATACTTCCCTAATTGTCCAAGAAAGTCCAGATTTTCACTACTGCTCTGAGGACTCATCTTTGTCAAACCCTTACCATGATTTTGTTGTTAATCCTCACCTGGCAATATTTTTTTCCATTGATTTTTTTTTTTTTTTTTTTCAGAGAGAGAGTGGAAAGGAGAGAGAGGGAGAGAGAGAAAAACATCGATGTGAGAAAGACACACCAATGTGAGAGAGACACAATGATTGGTTGTCTCCTGAACGTGCCCCGGGGCCAGGGATCTAACCTGCAACCCAGGTACATGCCCTTGACCTGGAATCAAACCCTCCACCCTTCAATCCCCAGGCAGATGCTTTAACCACTGAGCCACACCAGCCAAGACTGCCCTGGTATTTTTAAATTGAGGTACAATATTCATACAGTAAAGTGTGTAAAATACACGAATCTTAAGCTTAATTTTAAAATATATATTCATTACTTCCCTGGCCAGTTTGGCTCAGCAGTTATAGCATCAGCCTTCAGATCAAAGGGTTGCGGGTTCAATTTCCAGTCAAGGGCACATAACTGGGTTGCAAGTTTGATCCCCAGCCCCAGTCGGGGTTGTGCAGGAGTCAACCAATCGATATGTTTCTCTCACATTGATGTTTCTCTCTCTCTCCCTCCCTCCCTTCCACTCTATCTAAAAAATCAATGGAAAAATATCCTCAAGTGAAGAAAGATTAACCAAAAAATAAAATATATATTCATAACTATAACCAGTACTCAGATCAAGATACAAAATACTTCCATCACCCTAAAAAGTTATTTCATCTTTCTTCCCAGTCAAAGCCCCCTCTCCTGCAGTTAATCAATATTCTGACTGCTTTCACCATCAGTTTTACCTATTATTGAACTTCGTATAAACAGAACTATACATTATTTTCTGTTTTGTGCCTGACTTTTTTTAAAAATATATTTTTATTGGTTTTTAGAGAGAGAGGAAAGGAGAGGGAGAGAGATATAGAAACATCGGTAAGAGAAACCCATGGATCAGCTGCCTCCTGTATGCCCCCTACTGGGAATCAAACCCACAACCCCAGGCATGTGCCCTGACCAGGAATCCAACCGGTGACCTCTTGGTCCATGGGACAATGCTCATCCACTGAGCCACACTTCTTTAGCTCAATGTAGTGTCTGGAAGATTACATCCACATTGTTGTGTGTATGTTATTCATTCTTTTTATTGCTGCCAGCATTTGATTGTATGAATAAGCCAGAATTCATGTATTCATTCTCCTCTTGAGGAACTTTGAGGTGGTTTCCAGTTTGGGGCTATTATGAATAATGTTGTTATGAATATTATTGTCAATGTGTTTTAGTTGCCCTAGTTTTTCCTTTTGAAAATAGAGTCAACATGTCATGGAATATTAAGAAATTGTATGGAGAAGGAGATGGGTTCTTACAAGAGAAATCTGTTTCCTAGACGGGGATTTTATTAGGTGTAATGAAAGGTTAAATACTATATGATTCCATTTAAATAACATTCTCAAAATGACAAAATTATAGAAATGGAGAAACAATTACCAGTTGCCTGAGGTTAGAGTTGGCAGGGACAGGGGGTTGCCTATAAAGGTGCAGCACAAAGGAGATCTTTGCAGTGATGGAAGGGTTCTGTGTCCTGGTTGTGGTTACATGACCCTACAGGTACAGTCAGATGTCATAGAACTGTGCATACCATTGTGCCAATGTCAACTTCCTCATATTACATATAGTTGTGTAAGATTTAACCTTTAGTGGAAGTTTGGTGAAGGATATACAAGGGTACTATATATGCAACTTCCTGTAAACCTACAATTACTTCAACATAAAACGTTTTTCAACATCGTAATGAAGAAAACAAACAAAAAAGATAATGTCATTAGTATGGCCGGTGTGGCTCAGTGGTTGAGCATCAGCCCAGGCACCAAGAGGTCACCGGTTCGATTCCTGGTCAGGGCACATGCCCAGGTTGTGGGCCCAATCCCCAGTGTGGGGCATGCAGGAGGCGGCCAATCGATGTTCTCTCTCATCAATCTTTCTATCTTTCTCTCCCTCTCCCTTCCTTCTCTCTAAAAAAATCAATAAAAAATATTTAAAAAAAAAAAAGATAATATCATGCCCTGGCCGGTTTGGCTCAGCAGTTAGAGCGTCGGCCTGCGGTCCCAAGAGACCCGGGTTTGGTTCCTGCTAAGGGCACGTACCTCGGTTGCAGTTTGTTCCCGACCCTGGTTGGGTTGTGTGGGTGGCAGCCTCTAGATGTGTCCCTTTCACGTCGATGTTTCTCTCTCTCTCTTCCTCTCTCTCCTTCCCACTCCTTCTGAACAGGAAAAAGCAAAAAAAATGTCCTTGGGTGAGGATAAAAAAAAAAGATAATATCATTAAAGCACCTAGTCCATGGCAGATGCTCAATAAAAAGAAATCATTGTATTTTGTTATTTTTATACTTTTATTAAGGCAAATTTAAAACATACAGAAATAGCCCTGGCCAGTTTGGCTCAGCGGTTAGAGCGTCGGCCTGCGGTCCGGAGAGACCCAGGTTCGGTTCCCGCTAAGGGCACGTACTTCGGTTGCAGTTTGTCCCTGGCCCTGGTTGGTCGTGCGGGTGGCAGCCACTCGATGTGTCCCTTCACATCGATGTTTCGCTCTCTCTCTCCCTTTCTCTCTCTCCCTCCCACTCTATCTGTACAAAAAATGGAAAAATATCCTCGGGTGAGGATAAAAAAAAAAAAAAAACATACAGAAATAGAGGGGATAAATGATGATTTAAAAAATTAATAAAAATTTGAAAATTAAAAAATAAAACATACAGCCCTGGCCAGTTTGGCTCATCGGTTGGAGCATCGGCCAGCGGACCAGAGAGTCCCGGGTTCAGTTCTCACTAGGGGCACGTACCAAAAAAATAATAATAATAATAATAATAATAATAAAACATAGAGTCCAGCTGGTGTGGCTCAGTGGTTGAGCATCTACCCATGCACCAAGAGGTCTCCAGTTCTATTCCCGGTCAGGACATATGCCCAGGTTGTGGGCCCGATCCCCAGTGAGGGGCATGCAGAGGCAGCCAATCAATGTTCTCTCTCATTGATGTTTCTGTCTCTCTCTCCCTCTCCCTTCCTCTCTCTCTAAAATCAATAAAGAAAAAAATAAAACATACAGAAAAGTGGCGAGCACAATATATTGAACTTTCATATACCCATCACCAGGATTTAACAATTGTTCACACTTAAACACATTTTCTTCATCTATTTTTATCTGTAACAGATAAAGTATTTTAAAAGTATTTAACCCTTAAAGTTATAGTAATGTCTTAATGTCATCTAATGCATGTATTCAATTACCCCCAGTTTTCTCAAAAATGTCTTTTTATATTGGCAAAACACTTAATGTGAGATCTACCCTCTTAAATTTTTAAATGCACAGTACAGTATGATTAACTGTATGCACAATGCTGTGCAGATCTTATCTAGATCTTATTCGTCTTGAATAACTGAAACTTTATACCTGAAGTATACTTTATAATTGTAAACTTTATAATTGAACAGCAACTGTACATTTTCCCCTCCCCCTAGTACCTGGGAAATCATTGTTCTTATTGATGATGATGTTATTGTTATAATCTACTATGAGACTGTGTCATTTCCTTCCTAGACTTATACAGTTGGGGATTCGAGGACTTATAAGTAGGAATCTCACTGTCCCTGTAAGTTTTGTCTTGTAAAAGGCAGTTCATATAGCCCCAGCCTTCCAAGGCCTCTGGAATCTAGACATGCCATCCAAAGCTGCTGATCCCTGTCTGCACCATGCTGGAGCTCTGGCTCCTCACTCTGTCCTGTGGTCTCCCCCTTCCCAGCCTTCCAGCCTCCCAAAGGGAAGCAGGGTATTTGTCACTCACCATGATCAGTATTTCCTCTTGGATGGGACCTCGGCCTTCAGGAAAGGATGCAGAATTGTCCCCCAGGATCTCCTTACATGGGCTCTGACCACCCATGAGCGGTATGGAGAGTACAAGTCAGCCTAGGTGAAGTCCCCTGAGATGAGCAGGAGATGAGAGAATAAGAACGTCAAGGGCTTGAGTGGAATGGTCATTCTATGAGCTTGAAGTGAAAATCAGCACAGTCTTAGGCACTGTTACCCGCTGTCACCATTCCCCAGCACTCCTCACAGCCACTGCTGAGGATCTGGTCCGAGCCACCCGCCACCGTCTCGCATTACCATAGCAGTCTCCTCTCTGGTTCGCCTTGGGTTCATGCTTCCCCGTCAGGCTATTCTCAAAACAGCATCCAGAGTGATCTTGTCAAAAACTAAAGTTAGATCATGTCACTTCACAGCCTAAAACACTCCAATGACTTCCAATCACAGAGTAAAAGCCAAAATCCTTGCAATAGCCTACTGGCCCCATGTGGTTCAGCCCCCCACTGCCTTTTATCTCCTACTTTCCCCCAGCTCTGTCACTCGGCCCCAGCCATGCTGGCCTCCTTTCTATTCATCAAACACCAAGCACACCCCTGCCTTTCCCTTGCTGTTCGCTCTGCCTGGATTGTTTTCTCCCCAGATGACCGCATGCCTCCCCCTCTCACCTCCTTCAGATTTTAACTCCAATATCACCTTCTCAGTGGTGCCTTCCTCGACCACTCTAAGTACATCACCCCCCCCAATTAAAACACCTCCTCATCCTCTTCTCTGCGACATTGTCCCCTGTACAACCTATCACCGTCTAATATAACATATTCTGTTTATTAATTTGCTTACTGTCTATCTCCCCACACTAAAATGTAAGCTCCATGATCATTCTTGCCCATTTCTTGTTGTGTTCACTGCTGTATCCTCAGCACATACAAGGTGTTCAGATACATTTGATCAATAAATACACACGCTTGTCCAAGAGAAGTTTTAATGGGTGATACAATGATTTTATATGTTGCTGTTTTTAATACCCCATGACAGTAGGGCAAGAAGAGAAATGAGTTTTAGTTTTAAAAAAGGACAGCAGACCAGAGAGATATATGAAAGAGCTCACCAATCTTGGGCAGATAAACTCTGGATGGGTGAAGGGGACATCTTAATACTAGAGGCAGCCAGCAACCATCAATACTGAACTGTTCAAACGTTGGTACCCAAACCTCGCTTTCAGATCATCCCAAGCATAGGCCCCCAAGTTCCAATTTAAAATCTCTTATTAGCTAGGTCATTAATTCATGTATTCAATATATATTTGTTGAGCACCTCATGTGAACCAGGCAATTTGCTAGTTCCTGGGCATATAGCCATGAGCCGAGTACATAAAGTCCCTGCCTCACGGAGCTTGGAGTCTAGCGAGAGCGTCAGATAATAAGGTAATTTTGGATCCCAATAAATAGTATGAAGAAAATAAAACAGGCTGAAATGATGGAGCAGAACTGAAGGTTATGGAGCCCTCTCTGAGGAAATGAAATTAGAGCTGAGAGCAGAAGAAAGAGAAGGAGCTAGTCTTGCAAAGAGCAAAAGCAAAAAGGTTACAGTCCTGAGCGTGGCAAGGAATCGATTTATTTAAGGAACGGGAAAGAGGTCAGTATGGCTGAAGTGGTGGGGACCGGGGGAGTTCCAAGCTTCTTAAATTGTGTGTGGGGTGGGGGTGGGGGGGGTCCTGCACAAAAAGTAGTGCCTTTCTTACTTAAATCCTAGGACACATAGGGAAGGTAAAGATATGTTTGGTTTTTCTGAGCAAAATCTCAGTTCAGTACAAAAATGTGTACAGAGCCTACTGTGTACCAGTCACTTCACTCACAACAGAACTCAGCTTTGTATTTTCTAGACTCTAAGCCCAGGGATCCATCTCCTTGGCCCATCAATCTTCTCCTCTTTGCCCCTCCCCCTCCAAGTCTCTCTGTTCAGTGTGAGCCCGGAGACTCCTCTGGAGGCCAGGTGGCAGCTGTCCCACTCTCTCCCTCCTTAGCCCACCCCTCAGCAGCTGCTTTTGTCTGAGGAAGAGTAAAGGGACTATTTAGAGACACAAGGGGGTAGGGCAAAGGGGGCCTAGCCTGAGCTCTGGATGAACAGAGGAGGCCAGAGGGCTGGTGACCATCCATATGGGCCTGCAGATGGTTTTCCAGGTCACCAGGGCCAGGCAAGTACACTGAAGGAAAATGACCACAGGATGCATACTGCCGGGGTCAGGGCGGGAGGGACTCAGTATGATTGAAAGCTGCCACCTGTCAGATCTTCATGGGAAACCTGAGCCTCCCAGGCCAGGGAAAGTGTTGTACCAACAGGGTGGTAAACAACGCTTCAGAGGCTCAAGGCTCTTGAATGGGGGTTGGGTGGAGTGGAAGGCGGGAGGAAGGTAGAAGGGGGCAGGGACAGAAGGACTGGGGGCTAGAGGCCTCCAGCAGCCCAAGAGTGAGGCCACTCAGCTAGAAGAAGGAGACAGCTCCCAAGCCCCTGGGCAGAGGCCCTACAGGTAAGAGAAGCCCTGGCCTTTTCTAAGGGGCTCCATTTATCTGCCAACCCCTCTCCCACTTTCCAAGGGTGGGAGCCTCCAAGCAGGGCCCCAGAGCTGGAGAAATCCAGGCTTCTTTTTAATGTCAGCACCACTTTGTCAGTTCTCTTAGATGTCAGAGCTCAGGGATTCAGCCTCCGGGCTGTTGGGCAACCTGAGATCATCTACAGAGCAGCCTACAGGTGGCCGTCCAGGCAGAGGACCTGATGGGGCAGAGAGGCTCATAGCTCAGTTGGGTAGGGAGGCAGACTCTCTAAGCAGTTAAGAGCAGCCTCTCCAAGGGAGGGTCCCTGGCTGGGGCGGGGAATGGTAGGAGCCTCAGGACCACCGGAAGACAGATGGAGTGACAGTGGGTCTGGCGGTATCAGCAGAACCATCAAATGGCACCTACACTGGTTGGTGCTTGGAACTTGGGCTCCTGGGTTCTTTTCCTTTGGGTCTGCCAAGAGCAACAGGAAGGAGAGAGAGGAGCTGTCCGCAATGCTGCTTCGGACGCAAGGGATGGTACAAAGGCTTCCTGGGGAAGGAGAGGAAGGAAAGTGGAGAGGAAGGAAGGAAAGAGAGAGAGCTGAACTCTTCAGTCTGCCTTGTCTGGCTGTCCTCCCCCAATTAGTGTCCCCCCGACCCCTGGCCCGCACTCCAGGCCGGAGCCTTTGACGGGACACTGGCTGAGCACCTGGTGGGAGCAGCTGCTTTGGCTCAGGCCCCAGGCTGGTTGTCTGGGAGACCTGGGTTCTAGCTACAGTTGGGCCATTTAATTGTCCTATGACAACTCCCCCAGCTTCAGATTCCTAACGTGTACAATAGGACCAATGCCACCTGTTCCCACGAGGAACGAGTGAGGTGAAGCAGGGCATTATGTGAGCTGTAAGCTGCTCTGGAGTTGTCATTGCTGGGGGTGGAGGTGTTACCCTGGTTTCTGAGCATTCTGAGCATCTCCACTCCTTGTCTATTTATGACAGCCCTGGACGGTGGAAAGCTGAGGGGATGAACACGCAGCACGGCCGAGGAGTGTGTGTGTGTGTGTGTGTGTGTGTGTGTGTGTGTGTACCTGTCCTTCCCCTCTGCCACCCTAAGTGTGCAGCAGGGAGATGAAGGGAAAGACAGGTGCAGCACTTTGCTGTCTTAGCCAATTACTACCACACTGTAAGGTATAAAAAGGGCTTCTTATCCACTTACTGGCATTCAGTTCTCTTTGCCTTGTCTCAACAACTAGATGCCCTCATGGCTGGGTCAGGGCCTTAATCTGGTACAGGGGTGGGCAGAGGCCAACCTACACAGTACGAGCCGATGTGTACGGAGTGTTCCCTCATGCCAGGCGGGCCTCAAAATGCTTCCTATGCATTGGTTTCCTTAACCCTCCACCAAGCCTATGCAATGAAACCTACTTTACCTCTAAAAAGCAAAACACCAGGAGGGCAGGTAGCTTGCTCAAGGTCACACAGTTAGTAAACAGTGGGAGCTGGGATCCCATTGTAGGAAAACTCATGAATCAATGATTTCACTACTCCAGACCACCTTCCAAACGAGAGTGCAGGGCAGGAAGTGGTTGTGTGGGTCATTCAGACCAACATCGCGCTACTTCTGCTAAACACGGCATTGCTCAAGGGGGTGGTAGTGGCTCCTCGGGGAAAACAGCAAAAAAGAAAGAAAGCAAGAAAAACCACTCCATGGGCAAAGAGGTTTGGGGAAAAGTTAGTTAATAAGGCTAAGCAAAGTTAAGATTTCTTTACTATGGGGTACCTAAGTGCTAATGAAGTTGATCTTTCTAAAAGGGTAAAGAGTGGGTTTTCTCTGGAACAACCTTAGCCAGAGACTAAATCCCACCCCCCACCCCAGCCCCTATTAATGTCTTCTGAGACCCTAATTGTCCACAGAACACAGTTTGGGAAACCTGATCTAGATCAATCCTGTCACTGTGGGTGGAAACTGAGGCTCAGAGAAGCAAAGGGACTTGCTCAGGTCTCACAGTGAGTGGCTAGGATATGGGGGTCAAGGCCAGCTCCATGTGCTTCCCATCTGCCCCCTCTAACTCCAGACATGCTGGAGCTGCTAAACCACAAAGGGGCTCGGCCGGAGGGGGGGAGCTGGAGGGCAGTGTGAACACCCTTGCAAATTCCAGCCAGCTTCCTAGGAAACGCGAATCCAGGGACCCTGGGACCCTAGTCTGGGGCAGTAAGACACAGGAACAGAGTCCTGGCCCTAGTCTCTGTCTTCCCGCCTCTGTCCCAGTTACCCAGGTGCCTTGGGAATTATCGGCCTGAACGATGGCTCTGCCAGGGCGGGAGGTATTTTTAGCCAGTGACAGGAGGGTCTGCTTTTCTTACTGGCTGAGTCATGCCCTGAACACTATTTGGGGATGGTTTTCTTTGTAAACAGACCCCCGAGAAGGGCAGGGGGATGAAGGAGCTGGCCCCGTGCCCCCATCCACCTGTTATTGTAGGTCCTAGAGTATATGCTAGACTTGAACAGGAAACCCCAAGTTAAGATGTCACACTCTCCCTCCCCTCACCAGCCCCAGGCAGTTGGACAATCGCTGTTCCCTGCAGAGGTTAGAGAGAAACTGTTCCCTGCCCAGTTCCACCTCTTCCAAGAACCAGAGGCTGGCGGGGCTGGCAGGGCTGGCAGAGGCTGAGCCCAGCTGGCCCAGGGCTTCTCAAATTTCAGGCATTTTACACCACCTCTGTGATTTAGCTACATCTGTACTACCTGTATTCTGCTTTCCTGGATGTCTTCCTCAGAATTAACTTACTTTTAAATTCAATAAATGTGTTTTGTTTTGTTTTTATTCTCACCCGAGGACATTTTTCTATTTTTGTTCAGATAGAGTAGGGGGGTGGAGAGAGAGACATCGATGTGAAAGGGACATATGGAGTGGCTGCCTCTTGCACGACCTCAATCAAAGCCAGGGACAAATTACAACCGAGGCCCATGCCCTTGACGGGAATTGAACCTGCGACTCATTGGTCCGCGGGACGATGCTCTAACCACTGAGCAAACCAGCCAGGGCTAAGTGTGTGTGTGTGTGTGTGTGTGTGCGTGTGTGTGTGTGTGTGTTTAAAGAAACGTTATATCACTATTGGAAATGGAAACGGTGGAGGCCAAGGTGTTATTACATTCTGTCTGCTCCTGCTGCTTTGGGCTCTGCACCAGAGGCTAGCGATCTCCACGCAGTTCCAAAATGCTAGTATGGACTTGTAACCAGCTTGGGCTTAGTCAAAAGAGGCAAAAATCACTGAAAAGGCATTATGTGACCTAATGTTCTTTAAAGCCCAAGCCACAACGAGGGGAAAGGGGGACATCTGTAATACTTTCAACAATAAATAGAAAATAAATAAAAATAAAGCCCAAGCCACAACCTGCAGAGGGAGGGTGGGTGAAAACCACAAACATCTAGGCAGCCGGCCCACTTCCCACCTCTGGTGAAGCAGTGCTCTGCCCCTTCATTCCACCCCAGAGAAGTAGGGGTCACCCAGGACTGAACCCCAGGCCTCCAGACTCTAAGCCAGCGCTGGCTGAGGGCAGCCTTCACCTCATGCAGGATGGAGCATGACCAGGCCTGCTTGTCTTCTCTTCCCAGAGATGGAGCGGAAGGAAGGGAAGCCCTCTGAGGATGGGACCACTGTCTCCCAATCCGCAGGGACCCCAGGGACACCAGGAGGTGAAGCTTCAGCAGAGGAGGAGGTCAAAGGCACCGTGGGGAGCATCGCCACAGAGGGGCCTCCGGATGAGGCAGGAAGGCAGGAAGGCGCTCCAGCCAAGGCTGGCGTTTCAGCCGAACTCCAGGGGGAAGCCAAAGGGTTGGAGTCCAAAGTAGAGGCTGAACTTCCAAAGGAGGACAGTGGAAAGAAAGAGACCAAAGAGATTCCTCAGGAGATGACTGATGGGAAAGGAGAGAACAAATCCGAACCCAAGGAGGCTGAGGGGAAAGAGGGGCCAGTGTTGGCCTCTGAGAAGCAGAAGGCTGAGGAGAAAGCAGACAAGCCCGGATCCAGGGAGGAGGCCGACGTGGAGGACAAGGCCAAGGCTGAGCTGAAGCAGGCCACTGGGGAGCAGGAGGCCAGGGCTGGAGCCAGCAAGGCAGATGGGGAGCAAGAGGCCACCACAGCCTCTCAGGAGAAGAGCAAAAAGACGGAGGAGCCCAAGGCTGCAGTGGAGGCGAAAGCCAGCGCCCCAGAAGCCAAGTCGGACCCTGAAAAAAAGGCTGCTCTGGAAGATGAGGCCAAGGCTGAACCACAGGACAATGACATGGGGGAGGAGGTGGTGAGTGAGGCCAAGGAGAGGCGGGAGGAGGCCCCACAACGTTCTAGAGCCCCCCGTCCCCAGGGAAGCAAGGCCTCTCTACTTTATTCCCTGGGGAAAGTCCCGTGTTCCTCCCATGGATATCAAGAGCCTGGGGTGGGTGGTGTTGCACTGTGTCCCAGGCTGCCTTCCAGATCCTTCTGAAGTCCTCACAAAGCCCTGGGCAGGCACATGTGTGACCATGAGCTCAGCCAGATCATATTTATTCCAGGAGTCAGGTGCTCCCAATGAAGAGCAGGACCATGATGTGGAGAGAGAGTCAGAGGAAGGGGCAGGGGAGAGTCCCAGCTCCCCTGAAGAATGGCCTGAAAGCCCCACGGAGGAGGGTCATGGCCTCAGCCCGGGTGAGTGAGAGCCAGGAGCCCACCGCAGGGCTGCTGCAGGGGTTCCCCTGGGGGCATGCAGGGAGCGATCATGGTAGACCCAGTTCCCTGCCCACTGCTCCTTTCCTGCAGATGGGTTGAGCCCAGACACCGCAGCTTCCGGAGAGACCAGTCCCTCAGCCAGGTAATGTTCAACCTCAGGGCCCCAGCTCCAAACCTCCCTAACACCTGCTCCCTTCAAAGTCTACCCACACCTGGGCCTGGGCCTTCCCAGCACCTGATCTTGAGAATTCCAGGGTTCCTGGCATTCAGCCCCGTTCCCAGGGCAGAGCCCAGACACCCAAGGAGCCAGAGCTAGGAGCCAAGGGAGCATGTGGCCCACCTGGCCCACCTCCCCTCCATCACTGGCCTCTCAGCATCCCTGTTGGTTATTACAGAGGCCTTCATCTTGCTGCTCAGCAAGTTTCCATAGAGGCAGCACCAGCCATAGAGCACGAGCGGAAACCCTGAGTTTGGACAACTCTGCCGCTTACCAGCTGTGTGACCTTGGCACGTCACTTCGCCTGTCCTCATCTGTGAAGTGGGCGCAGTAGTTGTATCTCCCTTGTGGGATCAGTGTGAGGCTTAAATGATATACTGTGTGTAAAGCACTTAGCACAGTGCCTGGTGCCTGACAGGTACTGGTGAAAATGAGAGCTTTGTTCTTGCCACTGCCCAACTTTAGTCATTAGAAGAATCGTCTTTTATGTTGACCTGAGATCCACCTCTGTGTTACTTTCTTTGAGAAAAATAACTGACTACTCACTGAGCACTCAGGCAGTGATGTGGCAGGCTCTCCATTCCCCTTCTTACTCAAGCCTTAGAGCCATCTTGTCAGGTAGGTGTATTCTTGCCCCCATTTTACAGATGAGGAAGCTGAGGCTCAGAGAAGTAACATGAGCAATGCCAAGATCACACAGCAAATAAGAGGCAAAGCCAGGATTCAAACTCAGGTCAGACCTCAGATTTGCTCTAGTTCTGCCCTCACATCCCACCAGACCACAAGCCCCTCAAGTTAGAACGAGCCTCATTATTCCTTCCAGACCTACCCAGTGCTGGGCACAGAGGAAATGGGCACCAAGAGTGGGTGCCCCAACTGTGCATGCCCCTTCAGACTGCAGGGATCCCCCCTCCCCTGCCAACCCCCTTCCTGTACCCTGTACTGGCTGGTCCCAGCCCCTCTCACTCGTCTCTGAACCTTTCCACATAGTGAGTCTTCATCCAGCGAGATGCCCCAGAGCCCCACAGAGCCCCCTCCTTCCCAGGAGAAGAAGAAGGAGAAGGCACCAGAACGCAGGGTGCCAGCCCCTGCCCGGCCCCGGGGGCCCCGTGCACAGAACCGCAAAGCCATCGTGGACAAGTTTGGCGGGTAGGATGCAGGCTAGAAGCCCGCTGGGCTGGGCTTTCCCAGGGACCGTGGGTTGGTGGGAGGGGGGCCCAGGCCAAGGTGGGAACAGCCCAGGCCAAGGGGGGAGGGCTGACACAGGAGCTGGGGCTCCTCCCAGGGCGCCCTCGGTGACCTCCCACCTGTCTGGCCTGGCCTTCCCCATCCCTCGGCTCGCAGGGCAGCCTCGGCCCCCACGGCCCTGTTCCGGAACACGAAGGCAGCCGGGGCAGCCATCGGCAGTGTCAAGAACATGCTCCTGGAGTGGTGCCGGGCCATGACGAGAAACTACGAGGTGGGCACGGAACAGGGGCCCTGCCTCGGGGCGGCAGCGCTCGCTGGGGAGGGTCTGAGTGGTGCAAAGCCCAGAGGCGGGAGGCTCACGGAGGCCGCGCCTTCCGCCCCCGCAGCACGTGGACATTCAGAACTTCTCGTCCAGCTGGAGCAGCGGCATGGCCTTCTGCGCCCTCATCCACAAGTTCTTCCCGGATGCCTTTGACTACGCCGAGCTGGACCCCGCCAAGCGCCGGCACAACTTCGCCTTGGCCTTCTCCACCGCAGAGTAAGCCTCGGCCAGGACGGCAGAGCCAGCGGGGCTGGGGCTCGGGGGTCTGAGGCCAGGCTGCACTCACAGGGGTGGGGGAATGTGGCCACATGCTGATGTAGCCAGTACACAGTTTTTGATCGCCAGGAACTGTTTCAGGACAAAGCAGCGGGTGAAGCGGCAAAATCCCTGCTTGCCCGTGGCTGAGACTCCAGAGGCCGAGAGATCATAAACGCTTGCTGTAGGAAATGTCGTGCTGGGGTAGGTGCCATGAAGACAGCACTGGCAGGGGGGGGATAGAGAAGAGGAGCTAGGGTCTGCTGTTTCAGACAGGGTGGGTGGAGATTTGGGGTCGGATTCTGACTCGGCCACTTGTTGGCTGTGCAATCTTGCACAGGCTCCTTTGCCTCTCTGAGCCTCCATATTCCGACCTTTCAAATGGGCACGAGCTTTCCTCTTCTGCAGGGCTATTGTGAGGATTAAGTAAATAACTCAGTAAAATCCCTATAAACAGTACCTAACCCACGGAATACACTTCAAAACAATCTTAGCGCCCTGGCCTGTTTGGCTCAGCGGTTGGAGCGTCAGCCTGCGGTCTAGAGAGACCTGGGTTCGGTTCCCGCTAAGGGCACGTACCTCGGTTGCAGTTTGTCCCCGGCCCTGGTTGGTCGTGCGGGTGGCAGCCACTCGATGTGTCCCTTCACATCGATGTTTCTCTCTCTCTCTCTCTCTTCCTCTCTCTCCCTCCCGCTCTAAAAAAAAAAAAAAAAAAAACAATCTTAGCTGCCGTTCCTGTATAATGGATGACATCACAGCTGTTAAGATAATTATTATTCACTCTGGAACCTAGAGGAGATTTTATTCCTGAGAGTCCTAGCTGGGGGCCAAGGGTGGTGGCAGGCTGGGGAATGGGTGGTACTAGAAAAGCAGGAGGGGTGTGAGGACCAGTGAGGCCCAAGGAAGAACCTGAGAGGCAGAGACAGGCCTGCCTGGGTGGGGGAGGGGGAGGCACCCCCATCACCAAAGCCCTGAAGTCAGCCTCAGCCAGGTGTCTCCGTCTCTACCCACCAAGGCCTGAACTACTCCTGATGGCATTAAGCTCCCAAAAAAGCTCATGCCAAGAGCGCCCCTTTTCTGTGGCCCCAGGGAGAGGCTTCTGAGCTACCTGGTAGAGACCAGACTGTGCAAAGGGTGTGGCCAGTGAGGGCAACTCGGGGGGCATTTCTAAAGCCCTGGACAGGAAAGAAGTCACTGCAGATGTTAGCAGCACCTTGGTCTAGGAGACTGAGCCCTCTGGTCCTGTCCAGGCCTGGCCACTAACTTGCAGGGAAGCCTGGGACAGCACCTCCCCCTCCCTGGGCCTGCATGTCCCCATTGGCAAAATGAGAGCATGGGCTATTGATCTGGTTTTTTTTTTCCCCAGCAGAGTTCTCAAACAAAAGAGTGAGTGCCCCACATATCTCTTTAAGTTGGGGGGATTCCTGGAGCTTAATGCCCAACCTCCCTTCCCAAGATGGTCCCTGAAGCATGTCTGCAGGAAAACCACCAGACTTGCTGTTTGGAAGATTCCTTCCAGTTTCACATTACCCTGCCAAGGGGAGGGATGAGTGCCCTGGGGTGGGGGCGCAGGGGCTCAGAAACATGACACATGAATTGAGAGTGATTGTCTGCCAGGCGTTAGGTGCTTTCCTTGGCTGATCCCAGTCAGCCTCACAGCAATCCCAGGGCACAAGCAAACATGTTTCCTGACATCCAGGTCATACAGGAGGGCTGTGGCAGAGCTGGGATTGGAAAGTGAACCCCGAGTCAGGACTGGGAGTGCCAAGTGAACAACAGAAGGGCGTGCAGCTCCGCCCTGACCAGTTGTCCCTGGCCTGTGGGGTATGGGTCACGGTCCTTCTCCTGCCGCTGCCTTGCCTTAGTTCCACGCCAGGCAGAGCCACAGGAAGGCAGGCGTGATCAACGATGATGACGGGCTGACAGGAGGCATCAGACAGCAGTGAAAAGGGGAGGATGTGGTGAGGCCCGTGGGATAGTGGGTGGAGAATAGAAGTTGAGGTGCTGGGTTCGAATCCTGCCTCCTTCCTCCTTAGCACTGTCACCCTCAGCAGCTGACTTAACCACCTTTATGGGTTAGGGTGAAGATTAAGTGTGCCAAGTAAGGTGGCCCCTGCCAGGGCCACGACACCTTGTCACCCAATTCTAGACCTCTACTGGGATTCCTATGGAGTCCTGGGATGACAGAGGGGAGCAGCCAGTGCCGAAGCCCCCAGGGGACTCAATCTGCTGTGCTGCTGGAGGAGCCTGACCCCCTCTCCTGTGTAGGGAGATAGAACCCATACCCAGAAGCTGAGGTCACTGCATTGGTGGCAGGGAGACTGTCCCATTCTTCGAAATCCTCCAGTCTGTGCTCCTCCCCCAGCACCCAGGCCAATCCTGCTTGGGTTTCAGCCCAGCTGTCTCAGCCCCAAGGGAGGATTTCTGCTGGGACCCTGGTTTCTCCTACTGCCAGCACCCGAGGCGGTTTGGCAGGCTGGGGCTGCTAAGGCCTGGCTTCGGGGCATGGATGCCAGAGGCATCAGGCCAGCCTGGGGTTGAGTCCCAGCTATGCTACTCACTTTGACCTTGGGCAAATCACCAAAATGCTCTGAGTCTCCAGTTCCTCTTCTGCTGGTTGAGGATGGAGGGGAGGTGTAAATGAGACCTTCAAGGGGAAACACTTGACAAAGCACTTGGCACGGGTAGCAAGGCCCCAACAGTGGGTTAGCTCAGATTATCAGCCTCAGCGAAGCCAGGAGTGGCACTTTGCCTCAGAGAGCAGCTGGGAAGTTAGGAAAAGAGGACTTGATGCTAAACACCATGCAGTCCCTCAAGCACATCAAGCATGCCTGCCTCAGGGCCTTTGCACATGCTATTTCTGCTGCCTGGAATCCTCTTCACCCAGATATATACATGATTTAAGAGACCTTCCCTGAGCGCCCTTTTTAAAATACTACCAAAATAAAATAAAAATACTGCCAACAGAGGAATGTACCCTGCCTCCCTTCCCTATTTTCCTCCAAAGCATCTCTCACCTTCTGATGCACCATCTATTTCATGTGCTTGATCACTGTCTATTTTCTGCCCCAAGAATGTCAGTAACGTGACAGCAGGGAAGTCTGGGCTTTGTTCAGTGCTGAATCCCCTCAGTAAATGCACGGAGACTGAATGAAGATGGAGATGGTGCAGCTATAAGCCAACACTCTAGCTAGGATTGGGGTTCTATCCTTTAAACTCTTCCTGAGAGGCCTGGCCTTCCAGAGGACAAATACAGGAGCATATGGGAGGGGTGGGTTGATGCAGATCTCGAGACCAGAGGGTCTGCTCCACGCGAGGCCACAGTGCAGTGAGAATGGGGGCTTTGAACCAAGCTGTGTCAGTTTGACTCTGCCAGGCCTCAGTTTCCTCATCTATACAATGGGATAATTGGCCTAGATGACTCCCAGCTTCAACACACACAATTGGTCCTTGCTGGGCTGCCCTCACCCTTCCTCTAGTTCCCATGTTCTTCACCTCGGTGCTGTCCTCGCCCCACCCCGCCTCTGCCTCTCAGGAAACTGGCCGACTGTGCCCAGCTGCTGGAGGTGGATGACATGGTGCGGCTGGCGGTGCCTGATTCCAAGTGCGTCTACACCTACATCCAGGAGCTGTATCGCAGCCTAGTGCAGAAGGGGCTGGTGAAGACCAAGAAGAAATGAGCTGACCAACCCTATGGGCAGAGGTGGGCGGGGTGACCAGCTGACTAGCCGCGGCCCCAAGGCTCCCTTCTGCTCCAGAGACAAGAGAGCCAGGGCTTGGGCAAAGGCAGGTGGCACCAGTCTTAACGCATTAAAAGTAGTTTTGTAAAATCCTGTCTGGCCCCTCAGTGCTCTCTTCCTGTCCCTCCCAGGAACCTCTCTCTCTGGGATAATAAACCCTGGCTGCCAGAGTGCCCACCTGACACAATTTTTTAAAGATTTCTTCAATTGATTTTTAGAGAGAGAAAGAAAAAAACATTGATGCGAGAGTGAAACATCGATCAGCTGCCTCCTGCATGCCCCTACCAGGGATTGAGCACATAACCCGGACATGTGCTCTGACTGGGAATCAAACCAGCAACCTTTCAGTGCATGGGAGGATGCCCAACCACTGAGCCACATTGGCCAGGGCTGACACAATCTTTTCTACCAGCATGAAAGGCATTTGGGAAAGGTCGATGGCCTAGGTCCCACCAGCTGCATGACTTTAGGCCAGTGAGTTACCCTCTCAGAACCTGTTCACCATCTGATTGTGGATAAAAGGAGTTCGAATCTCATGGAGGTGTTGTGAGGGTGAAGTGAAATAATGAAATGAGCAAAAAGCCCTGCCTGGTGCCTATCACATGTGTTCAGTAAGTGCTGGTCAAGAGTAAAAACAGCCCTGGCCGGTTTGTCTCAGCGGTTAGAGCGTCCGCCTGCGGTCCTGAGAGACCCGGGTTCGGTTCCCGCTAAGGGCGCGTACCTGGGTTGCAGTTTGTCCCCGGCCCTGGTCGGTTGTGCGGTTGTGCGGGTGGCAGCCACTCGATGTGTTCCTTTCACATCGATGTTTCTCTCTCTCTCTCTGTTCCTCTCTCTCCCTCCCACTCTATCTGAACAAAAAATAGAAAAAAATGTCCTCGGGTGAGGATAAAAAAAAAAAAGAGTAAAAACAAATCCTGCGTTTCCAGCCATCGGTGGCACTCTTCCTGAGTCTCTTCCCTCCTTCCACACTTCTCCCAGACCGGAGAATTCCAGGGCAGGGGCTGGAGTAGAATATCTAGAAATCTCATCCAAACTAGGCTAGTGGGGCCTGCAGTGTCCCTTGACTCAAAGATACCCCACATTTCTGTTTCTTAAAAGCAATGGTTTCCCAGTCGCTCAGAACCACTGCATCCAGAAAGTTCTTCCTTTGGGTTAATCCCTCCAACTCTGGCTAAAGTTGTGGCTTGTTTTTGTTTTCCCACTGCTCATTATAGACAAATCGCTGAGCTGATGATAATGTCCTGATAACAATCCTGTCTGGCTTTATCTACCATTTAGAGAATGCTGCGCTGATAGCCCATGAAAAACACAAAAACAAAAGCAGCCAGTTTGGCCGAGGCAGGAGGTGACCTGGCAATCCACTGAAGTGCTCTGTGCCTGTTGCCTAGTCCCTTATGGCCCCACAATGTTTGGGGTTACCCGAGGCTCAAGGCCATCAGTTCACAGGAAGTAGGGTCACACCTTTTAGTAGACAACAGCTAAATCCCCAGCCTCCTCTTCTGAAGACACCACCCCACCCCCTCAATGAACACTGAGCCACACTCCACAATTTATCTCCAACTTTAATGGCTGGAAAAACCCATGGTTTCCATGACTCCCCCTGGACTGGAAGCTGAAGGAGCCATTCCTCCCAGCCTGAAGCCTGACCCCCAGGAAGGGGCAACCTAATGGGCTTGCCAGTGGTTTGGAAACCATGTAGTCAGATTTCTGGGATACAGATCAGATTCTTCACTTAGGGATTCATCAGTGGAAAAGGTTTAGCACCTAAATCTACACATGACTATCAGTAGCCTGCCTGATAACATCATCAGTCATATAATCAACAAATCTCCCAATCACAAGTGACTCCCTCCATGTGCCCTGCCTCCCCCCCGACACACACACTTCCCCTCTGCCCCCAGATGTCTGGGTCCCAAGGAGATTCTGGTTGGTTGCTGGGCTCATTTCCTTCCAACTGGCCTGGAAGGTGACCTCTAAGATGGGGCAGCTAGTGAGAGCTGGCCTGTGACCCTGCAAACCTAAACTGCCCGGCTCTGGGGCACAGAAAGGGCGTGGGAAAGCACCCCTGTGGCCAGGTGAGCCTGGAACTGGGTCCACACATACCACACACACAACGAACAGCGAACAACCTAGGAAGGAAAAAACAGAAAAACTGAGCAGGAGATGGGCCACCAAGGGGCTCTGGCTCCAGTGTATGCCATGTGTCTGTCCATCACGCAGACAGGATCGCTGCAGAGGGGCAGCGCCGGAGCTAGGAAGGCCGGTCCTCTCCAAACTTGAGGGTGAACTCTTCGGCGTTCCTGTGGAACTGCTCCGGGTCCTGTGTCAGCAGGTCAGCGAGCTCCAGGTGCACAGGCTCCCTCAGGTCCGGCCTATTTACCAGCATATTGACAGCCTCCAGGACTGGGGAGAGAGGCCAGGTCAGGACATGAGGACAGAGAGAAAAATCCTGGGCAGTCTGATGGCTGCCCACTCCCAGATTCCTCTGAAACTCCGTGTCACTCCCTGGGGAACCCCCAAGGAGATTCTCTCTCTCAGGATGACTCTACAACCAAATCAAACGCCCCTCAGTCCCGGCTGATGATGCCGAAAGCCCTGACTGTTCTATCAGTGGTTTCCAAACTACGCTCCACGGTGAGCTCTGTGGGGTGTCTGGGTCCCACTCCCTTTTCAACAAGAACCATTCTGTTTTACTCTGATATTAGGGTTCCAAAAACACTTTCACTTGGGAAAAAGAGTTCTGAGGCTAAAGACTGGAACCCATTGCTGCCCGGTGGCTCTTAATCTTTCACAGATGCCTTTGGGAACCTGAGGGAGGCAGGGGCCCATCTCCCAGCACGTGCACAAACATGCACTTCGCAGATAAGAGTGCTTCACGAATCCCCTGAAGGTCATCCAAGGAGCACCCTTGCCATCCCTCCCCCACCCCAGGATGCTTGTTGCTGGGGTTAAGAACAATCGAGGTGGTCCAGAGGCAGGACACATTGCACGCTTATGTGAGTCACTAGCCACATGTGATTACCTAAATTTAAATGAATTAAAGTGAACTACAATTAGGAACTCAGTTCCTCAGTCACATTCATTGGCCACCTTTCATGTGCTCAATAGCCACACGTGGCTAGTGACTATGGAACTGGATGGTGCAGCCACACAATATTCCCATCACAGCAGAAAGTCCCGCTGGATGGCAGGCACTGCGCTTGTCAGCCAAGCCCTGCCTGGCATCTAGCGCTGCCACTCACCAGTGGAGCAACCCGAGGCTGTGTCTCGTGCTCATCCACTAGATGGGGCTACGGAGACCACCGTCTCGTGGGGCTGCTCAGAGGACTGCATGAAGTTGACGCGTGAAGCTCTTGGCATAGTGCCGAAGTGATTAATTAAGTGATGTGTTCTATCATTACTGGGCCAGTCCCCTCAGTGAGCCCTGGAAAGGAGCAGAGACTTCACCAAGGTCCACAGATAAAGAGCAGCGGCCTTCTTATCCCAAGTCCTTCCCTGGATAGCCTAGCTGCTTCTCTCTCCCATGACCTGCCCAGGTGTAAGAACAGAGGCAGGAGCAGGTATCTCGGAACGCATCCCTTCTATCCAGCAACAGACTCCACTGAGACCCACAATTTTTATCTCCTCTCTTTCAGGCTTTTCTAACTCAAAATCAGCCCGCAATCCTGCTGCAGCATTGGCCCCTCCCTGTAGGCAGGGCCCAGCCCACCTTGGTAGGCCTTGGTATAAGTCTTCCAGTTATTTTTGCTGATGATGGGTAGGCACACCTGGCCGTCAGTGTCCACATTGGGGTGGTAGATCCTGGTTGTGAACGTCACCGTTGGGGGCTTGAACGGATACTCCCTGGGGAAGTTGATGCGCAGCTGGAAGGCCCTGAGGTTGTAGGGCGGCGTCTCCTGTGTAAGAAAAAGGGTGAAGCTCTGTTTCCAGGCAGGGTTGCTCTGAAAAGATCATTTTCCTCCTCAGATCTTGGTCTGGTTTCCCCTTCCCTGCACCCACCCCAGGGTCCACGGCATCTTCTACCCCACTCCTAGAAAGAATCATGCACAGAGACAGACAGCACCTGTATTCCTTTGGCAACTGAGCCATGGGTCAGCGGAAGAGCGGAACCACAAAAGAACACTGGCCTGGGGTTCACAAGTCGGATACTGGCTTTTGCTGTGTGACCTGGGCCAGCGCCTCCCAGCTCTAGGCCTCCATTTCCTCATTTGAAAAATGGGTCAAGTTTGACTAGATGACCTCGAAGGACCCCCTCAGCATATTTTTGTATTGATAATTAACTTTTCCCCCAGTTTTATTGAGAAATAATTGACATACATCACAGTATAGGTTTAAGATGTACAGCATGATGGTTTGATTTCTACATATTGTGGGAAAAAATGACCATAATAGGTTCAGTTAACACTCATCTTCTCATATAGATACAATAAAAAGAAAAGAAAAAAGAAAATTGTTCTCCTTGAGATGAGAACCCTCAGGATCTACTGTCTTACCAACTTTGCCACAGATCTACGGCAGGGTCAGCTAGCCATCACGTTGTACGTTACATCCCTAGCGCTTATTTCCCTTCCAAATGGGGGTTTGCCTCTTTTGGCCTTTGTTTCCCCATCCCCCCACCCTCTACCTCTGTTAACCGCAAGTCTGATCTCTTTTTCTGGGAGTTTGGGGGTTTTTTGGTTTTGTTTTGTTTATTTTAGATTCCTCATATAAGTGACATCACACAATATTTGTCTTTCTCCGTCTGCCTTCCAAGGTCCACCTATGTTGTCACAAACAGTCATCTCAGTTTTAAAACCTTTCTGAGAATTACGGTAGGAGAACACCATGAATGGGGGTGAGGAAATGGAGAAAGAACCGTAAGAACTCAGAAGACTGGAGACGTAAAATAGGGCAGCCACTGTGAAACACTGTACAGTGGTTCCTAAAAAAATTAAACAGAGTTGCCATATGACCCAGCAATTCCACCTACAGGCAGGCGCCCAAAAGAACCGGAGCAGGGACTCGTACAGGTGCGTGTACACCCAAGTTCATAGCTGCGTTGCTTACAGCAGCAAACGGTTGAAACAACCCCAATGTCCATCTGTGAATGAAGGCTTAAGCAAAACATGGCCTGTGCATACAACGAGATATAATTCAGCTTTAACAGGGAAGGACATTTGGACACGTGCCACACCGTGGATGAGCTTTGAAGACATTATGCTAAGTGAAATAAACTAGACAAAAAAGAACATGTTTTGAATGATTCCACTTTTGTGAGAAACCAAGAATAGTCAGATTTATAGACATAAATTAGAAAAGTAGTTATCAGGGACAGAAGGGAAGGAGGGATGGGGAGCTGGTGCCTCATGGGTACAGAGTTTTGGGAAGATAAAAAAGTTCAGTTGGTGGTGATGGTTGCACAAGAATGTGAATGTGCTCAGTGTCATTGGACTTTAAACATAAAAATGGTTAAGAGGGCAAATACTGTTAGTATATTTTATACCATGATTTAAAATAAGAAAGAAAGAAAGAACACAGGGGCTAAAGTGACCAAAGGTTGCAGGCTGCTAGGACCTGTCCAGAGTTTGAACAACCTGAAGCCTTGCCTGAGCACCTACTCTGTGCTGCCCCGTGCTAAGGGCTTGACACACCTTAGCCCATGTAGCAGAGTGCAGGGGTTACATGGACTTTGGAGCCATGCTGCCTGGGTGTGAATCTTCGCTCTGCTTCTCACTAGCTGTGTGACCTTCGGTAAGTAACTTAACTTCACTGTGCTTGCATATGAGAACAATAATACACCTCGTCCAAGGGCTTATGTGAGGATGAAATGAGTTCATTTATGTTAAGGACTTCGAATAGGGCCTGGCACATGACAAGCACGATGTATGTGTCAGTTATTATGATAAGTTTCATGAAAAGTCATGACTATCAGCATCTCCATTTCCAGATGAGGAAACTCAAGTTCAATGTGTGCAAGTAACTTGCCCAGGGCCACAGTGGCAATGCTGGGATGGGAACCCAGCGCTGTGGACTCTACGTCCACACGGGAACACTACTCTACACCCCGAAACAGAAGAAACCCCAGGACTTGGGTGATCCCAGCACAGAGCTGGTGCCCCAGTCCAGGCTGGTGCCAAAGCGCCAGACCTTTTCAGAACCTTTGTTACTGAGAAGACAGAACAAAGAATGACATATACATTTAAGCATCGTCAAGGTTTTAAAAGCACCTCTTCCTTTGCAGAAGGCAAGACAGAAGCCATAGTGGTTTGGGGTGTATCTGAAATTAGAGGTGGGGCAACTCCCGGGCAGATAAAATGTTTTAGTATTTATGTTCTCAATAACACGAAGGGGCTGGGACTTGGGGCGCAGAGAGGCCAAGGGTGAGGCTTCACACGAGGCTACAGGACTTCTGCATCTTATCTGTGAGCTTTGAAATCTGAACACTATTCCAGTATAATTAAGCACTAACACTATTGGAGAATGGCCTCCTGAAGGAAGTATTCTCAGTTCAGTTCATTCATTTTTGTGTCCATTATCCCTGACCCCTTCAGGATACTGGATGAAATGTGCTTTATTTGAAAACCTTTTACGATGCCTCTTGTGTAGAAGATGTCACCTTCACTGACCGACTTAATATAACAAATGTCCGGACAATACTTTGAGGTTGGCATAATTTGGGAAACTACTCTTTACCCTCTACCAACTGTGGGAAATAGGAAGTTTATCCTATACCTTGACACAGGTTCAAGAAAAAATTTTTTTTTCTTTATTGATTTTTAGAGAGAGAGGAAGGGAGAGGGAGAGAGAGATAGAAATATCAATGAGAGAGAATATCAACTGGCTGCCTCCTGCATGCCCCCCACTGGGGGCCATGTGCCTGGGCATGTGCCCTGACCGGGAATCAAACTGGCGACCTCCTAGTGCATGAGTCAATGCTCAACCACTGAACCACACCGGCCAGGCAAGTATTTTTTTTTTAAGGAATAAAATCTTACCACTGGCGACAGCATGGATGAGCTAAAGGGTAATATGTTAAGTGAAATAAGTCAGAGAAAGACAAATACCATATGATTTTACTTATATGTGGACTCTAAAGAACAATGTAAACAAATAAACAAAATTGAAACAAACTCATAGAGAACAGACTGATGGTTGCCCAAGGGGAGGGGAGTTGCAGGACTGAATGAAAAAGACAGGTGGTTATAGGACAGTCACGGGATATAAAGTACAGCATAGGAAACAGAGTCAATAATCCTGTGATAACTATGTATAGTGCCAGGTGGAACACTGTAAAATATGATTGTCTAAGCACTATGCTGTATACCTGAATCTAATAAAAAATAACATTGAGCCCTGGCCGGTTTGGCTCAGGTTAGAGCATCGGCCTGCGGTCCGGAGAGACCCGGGTTCGGTTCCTGCTAAGGGCATGTACCTCAGTTGCAGTGTGTCCCAGACCCTGGTTGGTCATGCGGGTGGCAGCCACTCGATGTGTCCCTTTCACATCGATGTTTCTCTCTCTCTCTCTCTCTCCCACTCTATCTGTACAAAAAAAAAAAAAAGGAAAAATGTCCTCAGGAGGGTGAAAAAAAAATAAAAATAACATTGAATGTAAACTGTAATTGAACAAATAATAAATAATTTTTTTGTTATTTTATCCTCACCCAAGGACATTTTCCTTTTTTTCCCCCCATTTTTTTGTTCAGATAGAGTGGGAAGGAGAGAGAGGAAGAGACAGAGAGAGAAAAACATCCATGTGAAAGAGACACATTGAGTGGCTGCCTCCTGCATGACCCAACCAGGGCCGGGGACAAACTGCAGCCGAGGTACCTGCCCTTAGTGGGAAGTGAACCTGGGTTTCTCTGGACCGCAGGCTGACCCTCTAACCGCTGAGCCAAACCAACCAGGGCCATTTTTGCATTTATTGTCAGACAGAGCAGGAGGGAGAAAAGGAGGAAGAGAGAGAGAGAGAAACATCAATGTGAGACACATTGACTGGTTGCTACCCACATGACCCCAACCAGGGCTGGGGATGAACCACAACCGAGGATCATGCCCTTAGCAGGAAATGAACCCGGGACTCTCTGATCTGTGGGCCGATGCTCTAACCACTGAGCAAACTGGCCAGGGCATAAAAAAAATTTTTAAATATATAAATTTAGCTACAAAAAAGAGATTTTTTTAAAAATTTTTATTTTTTTATGCCATTTGTCTGCTGAGGTTTTTGTGCCAGGCTTGGTGGTTGCTGGTTTGAGGAAGGCATCTCCTACAAAATCCAAAAGTCATTTAGTTTCTTCTGCCTCAACCTGGGAAGCAATCAATCCAGAGAGAGATCCCTCTACCAATGACAGGGGTAGTAAAAGAGGACTCTAAGGCAAGGAAAATTCTTGCTTAGACCTAACCACCCCTGCCCAGGTCCCTGGCCTAAGTCACCCCAACCCAAGGCCAGGATCCCAGGGACACTCACAGGCAGCAGGAGCACGTGCCACACCAAGACGTTGGCAACATCACAGACCAGGTTCCGCAGGTACCAGGGAAGCTCCTTCTGAAGATCCTCCAGCTCCTGGGGGCACAGCGAGGGGCAGTGAGCCTCGTCTCCCCTACTTCAGCCACCTCCCCTACCCCAGCACAAGCTGTCTTAAGTCCCAAACCAGGCAGAAGCCGGCAGGCAAAGTCAGAGCCCCGTTTACTGAGCACTTAGTATGTGTCAGGCCCGGGGCTAAGTGCTTTGAGGGACTTTTCCGGTGTCAGCCTCACACAGCTCTGCGCGTGCCAGGTGAGGGGAAGAGGAAGGGCACTGCTTCCAGATGTTAGAACTCGGGAGTCAACTCTCTTAGGAGTCTTGTCTCCTGAAACCAAGGCACTTAACCTCCACCCTCCAGTCCTTTTCCTAGAGTCGCAAGATCCTAATTACTTCTCTCCTTCCCTGGCAAACACTGAGTGTTCAGCATGACAATGCTCATGGCAGCAGAGACATGACCCTGTGCCTGTCAGACTCCCCATTTCAGGGTGAGGGAAGGGAAATGACTGAGACAGACCACAGCAAAGCAGAAGTCTACACACCAAGCAGAGCAAAAAGGGGGCAGAAATGACTCATCTTCCTAGAAACGTGGCCCAGTCACCTGGACATCACTGAACAGCCCTTTCCTGAGCATCCTCCATTAACGCCCGACTGAGACAGGGCCCGGTCTTGGAGAATTTCACCGGAGCAGTGATTATGTGGACAAGGTGTAGAGATATAATGGGGAAGAAGGGGAGGGGACAGCAGGAGGGCTTCGCGGAAGGTGACACTGAGCTGGACCGCACGCAATGAAAGGAGCCCACCCTGCAGAGGAGAGAAGCACCAAGGCAGAGGGCCCAGTCAGGGCGAACGTGTACAGTGCGTTTCGTGCGAGGCCAGTAGTTACTATAGGAAAAGGGTCCCCTGGTCAAGTGCATTGGGAAACACTGGGCTACACAGATTGCTCCCCAGCAGGGAATCTCCAAGATGTGAGCCCACAGCATGCAGTACTTCTCAAACTTACTTGACCAAGGAGCCCTCTCCCTTTCAGGGTCCATCCTGTGAGACAACAGTCTTTTTGGGGGGAGGAGGGACAACTAAAAAATTAAAAGACATTCAAGGGCAGGTCATAGCTTCCGGAACACAGAATGGGTGTAAACCACTGGTTCTCTACTAAGGGCAACTTTACCCCCCTGCCCAGGGGACACTTGGCAATGTCTACAACCATTTTTGGTTGTCACAAATGGGGGTTGCTACTGGCATTTAGTGGGCAGAGGCCAGGGATGCTCATAAACATCCTACAAAAACGTATCTGGCCCAAAATGTCAATGGTGATGAGGCTGAGAGACCCTGGTGTAAACAAAGGCAGAGAAAAAGCTACCCACAGACTATCCATGGTTGGGGAGGGGTCCCTTAACACTGTGGATCATCTGAATTTTTTTTTAATCCTCACTCAAAAATATTTTTCTGTTTATCTTCAGATAGAGTGGGAGGGAGGAAGAGAGGGGGGAGAGAGAGAGAAACATTGATGTGAGAGAGACACATCGACTGGCTGCCTCCCGCACAACCCAGACGAGGGCAACCGAGATACGTGCCCTTGACCGGAATCGAACCTGTTGAGCCAAACCAGCCAGGGCAAATCACCTGAATTTTATCTGCCCCCCAATATATAAACACGTCCCTGTCCCCCATTTCCTAGGTTTCAGCCGATACTCCGTCTCTGTTCATGCCAATAAACTGCTTCTGCCCAAAGTATATGTATGACCTTCATTTATTTTCTACCCCAAACTAGAAGTATCTGCTACTCCAAGTCCTAGTCCCAATATCATCTGTGACTCTGGCAACATGAAGGCCAAGGCTGAATGCAGAAGCTGTGAGATGGACATTTTCCAACTTCCTACAACTGAGCACACTTGAACTCTCTCTCTTACAGGTAAGTTCTGCCAAAACTTCCCCCAAGCCTGAGAACATGGAAATCCCAGCAAGGACACAGCTCCTTCCTGAAGCCCATAAGGAAATTGCCGGACTCAGAGGAACAGAAAATGAAAGTAGAAAGGCCACTGAAAGAACCTGCAGGTTGGAGCCCCATCCTCCTGAACTCAAATCCCAACCCCCTCACTCCCTACTGGGTCACCCTCCCTGACAACCAAGTGATCTGAGCCTCAATTTCCTCCTCTGTAAAATGGGGGTATATGACTTAGCTCATAAGGTTGCTGTGGGAATTAGATGAAATGACTAACATAAATTGCTTGGCACTTAATGGGGCCAGTGGGATAAATACCAAATATATCTCCTAGCTCTTTCCCACTTGGCTGGAAAGACCCTCTGCCCTGTTTCGCTGCCAACCTCTCAATTTCAGTTCTGGGCTGCTCCAGGTGCCCCAATCTGAGACCATCTTCCTCTCAGAGGCTGAGGGTAGCAATCACCCCCTGTCACTCCCTTCAAGCCTGTCCCCCCACTCTGCACATCTGAGGGGCACTTCTGAAGGAGTCAGAGTCTGGGGGATGTTAGCCCCACTTCACCAGGATCGCTCTTCCATCCCCTTCTATTTCCGGGCTCCACCCTCGTCCTGAACACACTCTGGGTTTTCCCACCTTCCTGGGGGAAATCCTCAGTTCCCCATCCTTCCAGCCCTTATTTCAAGTCATGCCCCTGACTGGGGGAAAAAAGCAGAATGTGTGCTCATCTCTGCACAGGAGCCAGAACGAATGAATGCTCGCCACTACTCCAGAACATCTCCCAGGTCCTCTTTAATAGCTTCCCCCTCCCCCAAAACACCCCGGGAGCTTTGTTCTCGGCTCCTGCAGCCCCTCAGACTTCTCGGGGCTCTAGTCATGTAGGTACCAAACTAGGAGGCGGGTCCCGGGCCGTTCCCGGACAAGGGACCTTGTCCTGGTTATGTCTCTGTTCATAACCTACCCCCCTCGACCTGGCTCCTGGAGCCACCCCTTCAGCTCCTGAGACGCAAACAACTGTCACCCCAACCTTCTGGCGGGTGAAAAGAAACTGAAACCAGTTTTCGGGGTGCCAGCTCATCCGCACCTTCATTACAGCTCAGGGAGCCAGCGACACGACATGCCCCTGCGCCCCCCAAACTCCAGCGCCCGCCCCTCTCGCAGACCCCTTCTTCCGCTGGGAGGGGGCGGGGATGGCGGGGTCCCGCCAGCCCCGGAACCCGGACAAACAAATGTGCTCGGAGAGCCCCGGGGAGCCATTACCTTCGCCACCCGCTTGATCGCCGTCATCTCGGGCCGAGTGTGGGCTCGGGCGACCGCAGCGACAGGAAACCCCGCGGGCGGCCTGGGCGAGCCCCCCTCCGAGGGCCGCGCCTCCGGAAGCCCCGCCCGCGCCCCGCCCACCCGCGCTGGTGGGGACCGTGCGAACCTCTCCGCGCCGACGCCGCTGAGCACGGGAGGCCGCCGGGGGCAGGAGCCGACCGGACCCCGGTCCCCGGTCCCCGGCGCGCTGGGCTCGGACCCCGGGGACTCGCGCTCTTCGACAGGGGCCCCGCGGGCCTGGGAGCGCGCGGCGTGGTCGGACCCTGGCGTTCCGCTGGGGGGCGCCGTGCACCAGGCCGAGAGCGCGCCGGGGCTCCTCCATCTCCCCGCCGCCCGAACGCACGCTCGCCCCAAGCCTTGACGGGATGCTGGCTCTGCAAACGCAGCTCGGGACAGCTCGCTCGGCCTCCACCCTCAAACCGCTGCTCTGGGCCCCGAGCCCCGTGCCCCATCTCTAAAAGGGGTGGAGCACAGTGTAGGCTGTTTGCCCTCCACAGGTCCCTCCCCTGGCGTTTTGAGGTCCTTTGTGCGGTCCAACTTTCGGTGGCGCAATTACAGGGTCGTTTCTCCCTGGTGACGAGTTGGTGAAGAGCACCGCAAGGGGGCGCTGTTGGACCTATTCTCTCTTGCTTTGGGTCCTTTATTAGATCAATATTTAGTTAGGTGCCTGCTATCTATCTGTCGATTGGGGAAACAGTGGGTGGGGACATCCCCACGATGGACTTCAGAGCCTCCCTTATTTTGCCATCGGTCCATTACAACCTGCGGGCCTACTGTGTGCTCCCACACACAGTCAGGAGCTAAGGGCAGAGACCCATTTCCCCAGCCAGGAGCTGAGGCCACCCTGGAAGAGCAGCCCCTGAGCACAGAGTGGCATCTGGGGAACAATGTCCTAGTACTAATGAGACTTCCTGGGAGGACTGGACCCGCTTTCCTACCCCCACCGCTTTCAGTCCAGACGAGGAAGGAAATCAGCATGTTTTGAGCCCATGTTTTGAGTTCTGTGCCCACCATGTCACATAGTTTTTGTCTAAGTGTCTTGGAACTGAATTACTTTTCTGCGTAGATGTATGATGTATTTGCAGAACGATTAGTTCTGTTTAATTCAATTCAATAAACTTGAACACGGCATCCTCTATATGCCAGAAATGAATAGGACACTGTCCACAGTCCCTTAACCTAGGTAAAGATGAGGGAACCGAGACCTTTGACCCTACCTCTGGTCATTCGTCTCAGTTAAGGTGCATTTACTACTGGGTGGCAGTACTAACTTGTAGGGAACAGTACAATGAGAAAGTGGAGTCCCTGCCCTTGAGAAGGGAAAGCATGCAGCCCCTGCGTTCTTAATGCAAAGAGATAGGCAGGAAGATATAGGGAACCACCTGGCACTGTGGTAGCCTGGAGGAGGGTCACCTGATGCAGCCTCAGAGAGGGGCCAGGTTTCCCAGAAGAGATGCAAAGCATGGTGAGTTAGCTAGAGGAAGAACCTGAGATGAGTGTGTTCCCAGAAGAGGGTACAGAATGAGCAAAGGTGTGGTGGCAGTATGTATGGAAACTGAAAATATTTCCATAATGTGGAGCAAAGTCTGTCCAAAGTTCTGCGGCAATCCTTTCTTTCTCATCCAGACCCTCTACATCCCCAACATGAATTGAATTCAGAGTCATGGATTTAGCTGAGCCTCCCCATCCTGAATGGATCTTACTAACCACCCATATAGCTGGGAGGCCCATGTGCATGGCCTTCTTGTTTTTACACAATACAGACCTTTGTGTGTGTGTCAGAATGAGCCCCAAGGGGACCTGGATGGGCCACGGAACCTCCCACCTGCTTTCCAGAACTGCTGTGAGGCTAAGCCCACAGGAGTGGAGGAACTCTGAAAATTATAACTCCCAAGTATAAATAATCAGGATTCGATCCCAGTTCAACTATTATTGTCTGAAAAACCTTGGGCAAATTACTTAGCCTGTCTATGCCTACATTTCCTCATCTGCAAAATGGGGCACATACCCAGGCACATGCCAGGGTTGTGGGCTTGATCCTCAGTGGGAGATGTGCAGGAGGCAGCCAATCGATGTCTCACTCTCAAATCGATGTTTCTCCCTCTTTATTTCTTTCTTCCTCTCTCTCTAAAAATCAATAAAACATCTTTTTGTTTTTTATTATTGATTTTAGAGAGAGAAGAAGGGAGAAGGAAAGAGAGAAACATCGATGAGAGAGAACATCGATCGGCCACCTCCTGCATGCCCTTCACTGGGGATCTGGCCCACACTCTGGGCATGTGCCCTGACCAGGAATCAAACCAGTCAATGCTCAACCACTGAGCCACACTGGCCAGGCAATAAAGACTATTTTTTTTTAAGTTTATGCACTAGCTGGTGTGACTCAGTGGTTGGAGCATTGGTCTGCGGACCAGAGAGTCCCGGGTTCGGTTCCCGCTAGGGGCATGTACAAAAAAAAAAAGTTTATCACACAGCCCTGGCCAGTTTGGCTCAGCAATCAGAGCATTGGCCGGAAGACCAGAGTCCCAGGTTCAGTTCCCACTAAGGGCACATACCTCAGTTGCAGTTTATCCCCATTCCCAGTTGGGGTCATGTGGGTGGCAACCAGTCGATGTGTCTCTCCCACATCGATGTTTCTCTCTCTCTCTTCCTCCCCTCTCTCCCTCTCACTCTATCTGAAGATAAATGCAAAAATGTCCTCAGGTGAGCCCTGGCCGGTTTGGCTCAGCGGTTAGAGCGTCGGCCTGCGGTACTGAGAGACCCGGGTTCGGTTCCCGCTAAGGGCACGTACCTCGGTTGCAGTTTGTCCCCGGCCCTGGTTGGTTGTGCGGGTGGCAGCCACTCGATGTGTCCCTTCACATCGATGTTTCTCTCTCTCTCTCTTCCTCTCTCTCCCTCCGCTCTATCAGAACAAAGGATGGAAAAAATGTCCTCGGGTGAGGATAAAAAAAAAAAAAAAAAAAAAAAAAAATTTGCCCTGGCCGGTTTGGCTCAGCGGTTAGAGCGTCTGCCTGCGGTCCGGAGAGGCCCGGGTTCGGTTCCCGCTAAGGGCATGTACCTCGGTTGCAGTTTGTCCCCGGCCCTGGTTGGTCGTGCGGGTGGCAGCCACTCGATGTGTCCCTTTCACATTGATGTTTCCCTCTCTCTCTCTTTTCCTCTCTCTCCCTCCCACTCTGTCTGTACAAAAAATGGAAAAATGTCCTCGGATGAGGATTAAAAAAAAAAAAAAAAAAAAAAAATGTCCTCAGGTGAGGATAAAAAAAAAAGTTTATCACACAGCCCTGGCCAGTTTGGCTCAGCAGTTAGAGCGTCAGCCCTCGGACCAAAGAGTTTCAGGTTTGATTCCGGTCAAGGGCACATATCTCAGTTTCAGTTTGTCCCAGGCCCTGGTCGGGGTCTTTCGGGAGGCAACCAGTCGATGTATCCCTCTCACGTCGATGTTTCCTTCTCATTCCCTCTCTCTCCCTCCCTCCCACTCTATCTGGGGGAAAAAAAATTGTTTTTAAGTTTATCACACAGAAAAGGCATGGGCGTGCTCCAGAGAGAGCTTCAGGGGTTTTATCTCTCTTCTTTGGGCAGGAATCCTACGGGAGGTCTCTGGGGAGGGTCTTCACAGAACATTCGTTAGTTTTCCAGGTGTGTCCTTCAATATGTTGACTCATCAAAATGAGCATATAGGAGAGTTTGGTATCATCCTCTGGTCAGCTTCACTGCTTTGCTTTTTTTTTTTTTTTTTTAATTTTTTTTCTTTATTGATTTTAGAGAGAAAGGAAGGAAGAGGGAGAGAGACATAGAAACATCGATGAGCAAGAACGTCGATTGGCTGCCTCCTGCATGCCCCCCACTGGGGATCGGGCCCACAACCTGGGCATGTGACTGGGCATCGAACCAGCGACCTCTAGGTGCATGGGGCGATGCTCAACCACTGAGCCACACCGGCCGGGCTCACTGCTTTACTTTTATCTTGGGTCTGTCCAACTCTAATCAGGTTTTTGTTATTTGTTCCCATGACTTCATCATCCGTCCTTGGGTGTGGCTGCACAAAGGGCGCTGACTGGGTCTCTGTCCTCTACCTCCCTGACCAGGGAGATTTAAGCTATTTATTCTCTGGTTAGGGAGGAGAGGTATGAACCATTTGTTCTCAAGTGTCCTTGGTTAAGGAAGATAAGGTCTTGTGATTCACTAGCTGGCTGTAAATTGTTCAAACTGTTTGACCTTGTTTAATTATCTTGTCTCGGTTTCTCCATTCCATTTGCCAAGGAATCTTCCTAGCTTCTTACTATTCTGCCTCCATCTACACTCAGCACACCCTTTTTAGACTGTCTGCCTTTCATCATCTTTAAGTTATTTTACAACTCTGTGCATTGAAGTAACTGATAGCATGCAAAAGAACTTTAAATTTTATTATTCACTTACAGTTTACATTCAATATTATTTTGTAACAGCGTAGTGTTAATCATATACCTATTTCATCCAACCCTAACCCCCCACCCCACCCCAATAGCTGTCAGTCTGTTCTCTCTGTATCTGTGAATCTGTTTCTATTTTGTGTGTTTATTTCGTTTATTAGATTTCACGTATAAGGGAAGTCACATGGTGGTTGTCCTTCTCTGACTGGCTTATTTCACTTAGCATGATACTCTCCTGGTGCATCCATGCTATCACAAAAGATAAGATTTCCTTCTTTTTTATGGCCAGGTAGTATTCCACAGCTTTTTTATCCACTCATATACTGATGGGCACTTGGGCTGCTTCCTAACCTTAGCTATTATAAATAACTCTATAATGAACACAGGGGCGCATATATTCTTTCGAATCAGTGTTTCAGGCTTCTTTGGATATATTCCCAGAAGTGGAATCACTGGATCAAAAGGCAGTTCCATTTTTCATTTTTTGAGGTAACTCCATACTCTTTTCCAAAGTGGCTGCACCAGTCTGCATTCCCACCAACAGTGCGTGAGGGTTCCCGTTTCTCCACATCCTCACCAACACTTGTTGTTTATTGACTTATTGATGCTACCCATTCTGACAGATGTGAG